AATACAAATACAGAGTGCACTGATCAAACCCAGCTTCCCTTTACCACCTTCCTCAAGGCCTTTGCCCTTCTGGAAAGCTTGAATTCCAAAGCCTGCTCTGCCTCTCATTCCAGGTAACAGAAGCCCTAACTAAGACACTCCCCACGAGAAGCAGGGCAGGACTGTGCTACTGCCTTCATTTTGTAAGGAACAGCCGAGGCTCTCAGAACTTAAGGAACCCAGTCCCTGCCACAGTTATGCCACGTTCTGGGTCAGTGTCACTCCTTTGAATCTGAGCTCAGTATCTCAGACGAGATTCTAAGAATGGCATGATGATGAATTAAGTGGGAACTGGGGAGATCTCTCGCCTTGGACACACAGTTGTTTGAACGTGGACCTCAGTGTCGGTGAGAGGAACAAGAAAGCTGCTCTCGTGCGGCCTCCCACTCCTCCCCGTCAGTGCTGGTTCTGTCTGAGGACTTGCAGCTTTGCATTTCATTTACAGGAAGACAGAATAGAACCTTTGTGCTAGACTTGAAGGAAACTGTGAAAGGCCACAGTTTGTCTTCAGACTTATGTCAACTATTTATCTCTTGTCGTTTTCAACAAACAAGTCCTCCCTGTGCATTTTGAGACTGTCACAACCCCTGGCTTTCTCTAGTTTCCCTAGGTATGTGAAAAAACCTGCCATTCTCCTGTGTCCACCAACCACGCTGGGGATGTAGCACAGAGGGCCAGGGGAGACAGTGTGCGAGGTGCCGGGTTATACACAGCACACTGGTGCCAAAACAGGGTTCACTGGGCACCGGGCTCCCGGGTGCTTCAGATTTGTTAACCAGAAGGTTAGAAGCAAGGATGAAAGGAATCTCTCTCAGTCCTCTAAATGCTACTACCATCTCCAAGTGTGTGTGCTTCCACCATCTGTGGGGCGGGGGGGGGGGGGGCGCAAATTCTGATAGCTCAATAAACACTTGTGCTAACCCGAGTCCTCTTTCACTGAAGGTGGACAGGCAGGGGCTGGGTGACCACATAGGTGCCCTCCGTTTGAGGGGACTTGGAGTGGGTGATCTTAAAATCTGAGAACCCATGGCTGGTAAAAATCAGATGCCTTAAATTTTACTTTAAAATTATCCCAAGTAGCTCTTTCCAGGTTAGACAGTTTGGGCATTATTCATTCTGGAGCCCCGAAAAAACTCTGTTGATTTTGTATTTTAAACACCTTGCTGTGGACCACTGCCATTGAAACCCAGGGGAGAATCCTGTAAGACCTGGGACTGAAAGGTTTGATAAAAACGGGATCTTGTTTTTGTCTTTAGTTAGGGTTTTTATTGCTGTGAAGAGACACCAGGACCACAGCCAACACTTCACTGGGCCTCCCTTAAAGTTCAGAGGTTTCATCCGTTAGCATCAGGGCCTGGGAAGCATGGTGGCATGCAGGTAGACATGGTGCTGGAGATGTAGCTGAGAGTTGACACTAGGCCTTGCTTGAGCTTCTGAGACCTCAAAGCTCACACCCCTAGTGACACATTTCCTCCAGCAAGGCCACCCCTACTCTAACAAGTGCCAGGCCCTGTGAGCCTATGGGGACATTTTCAAACTACCATGGTCATCCTCACCTTCTTTTTGATATGAACAAAATCTCCAGGGTGCTATCATTTGTAGGTATTTTGGGTAAAATGTTGAAATTTATGAATAATTTATTTTCTAAAAAACATCGGATTTTTGAAGTTCCTGTTAATCACATACGAAAACTCCGTAACAGTTCCTTGCGTGGGAGAACAGAAGGTGTGGGAACGTGGAACCTATGTTGGAGGTGGCTGGTCCACTTGGGAACACACCAGCACACCACGGCCCACTTCTGGTGCAGCTGACAGGCTCCTGCTGGGGATGGGGCGGTCCTCATCCTTTGGAGTTACTTATAGAAGCGAATTCTCAGGTCCTCCAAACAGATCTACCGAATTGGAGCATCTGGGAGTCAGGCACAGCCACAGGCTCTGCAGGGGATTCCAGGGCGCACTGACCCTAGGCCAAGAGTTCTGAGTGTGGTTCCCAGTAGCACCAACATCTCCTGGGAACTTAATAAAAACCATCTGCAGCATGTTTGCACGAGGCTTTGGCAGGTGAGGGCTGAAATGTTCCACGGCCCTTTCAAAGACTTAAAGGCCATAGAGACGGGGAAAAACAGTAATAAATAATAAATTCTTGGGGCAGAGGGTTGGTGGCTCAGCCTGTGCAGTGCTTGCCATGCAAGCAGGGGGTCTGAATTTTATCTCCTGCCATCTGCTCGCTTGGACAAGCTCTCTTGCTTGGATCTGTGAGGCTGCGGACCACTGAGCATGGTTCCCACCAAAGCTTCCACCTTCACGAGCACGTGGAACATTAAGACTTTCTGATTTCAGCCTGTCCTTGAGGCCACGGCAGGTAACTCCTGAGAGCTACCTGTCCATCTCTGCCACTCATGTCCCCAGCTGCAGGCTGGGAAGCGCAGTTCAGAGAGTTGGGACCACACCTGGACTCTCCAGGACTACCCAGTGCTCAGACTGCAAAGCCAGGGGATCCGAAAACAGGTCTCCTGAAGAACTGGGCATGGCAACCTAAGGAGCTGGAGCAAGGCCACACTAGCAGGCGTTAGGACTCCCCCAGCTCTCCTCTGAGGGACAGACCACGGGACTTAGGATCCCAAATGGCTACTGATCACTTGACAGCTCAAGGAGGCCCTGGCTTTTACACTTTCCCAAAGCCATTTGGACCCTTGATATAAAGAAAACTATAACAAAGAGGAAGAACCGGGGCAGAAGAATACAGGAGGCGCTGGGGGATGGGCAGAGGAGTCTGCTCTTGGGGTGGTAGAGACCACCACAGGTTTAGCTGACGCCATGGCTGCTGCTTGTTCTGCTTCAGCCAGGGCCACACAAACGTCTAACCTGCAAGATTTTTGTATTTGCTTTGAGGATACAGGGAGGGGGCAGGAAGCAGGCAACGTCCAAGTCTGTTCTTGGAGTGTTCATAGGTCTTTCTTAGAGAGGTGAAGTCACGTGTCTTCTTCAGACAGTGGAATACATGACCTGGGCAGTGTTGTGGAACCTTTCTGCTGCACATTCTTTATGGACAGATCTGTTTCCAGACAAACTCCAGCTTCTTAGTGTCCCCAAGGCAACAGGGAAATATCTGTACCCAGCAGTTCCTATTCTCCTGGGGTGTGTCCCAAGATACCTATGAATGCCTGAGACAGTGCATAGCTCTAACTCTATTAAGTTTTCTCCTGTGTATCAGAACCTACAAGGCAGTTTAATTTAAAGTTAGTCTCACTGAGATTAGCAACAATAACTAATAATAAAATAGGAAATTATAACACTATGTTATAAAACCGTTAATGGATTATTTATTCCTAGAATGCTTTGCTTAATCTTTTCAGGTACCTGAAATCACAGAAAGTAACACAAGGGCCTGGGAACTATTTCCCTTGACTGCCAGTTACCATGTTTGTTTTTTCTGAACTCAGGTTAGAGATGGCAAGATAAATTTGTTTAATTTGTCTGCCTCACAGACTCCCATGACCTAAGACTGTCATGACCTAAGACTATAAAACCAGGGAAAGGATTCATCACCAGGGAAAATGGGGGCAGTGTCAAATGCGGGGCGGTGCTTTGGCGTTTCTGGGACGCAGAGTGTGGCCGAAGGAGATGAGAGATGAGCCTGTGACTCGGTACCTGCGAAGGAGCAAGCGAACGGGTGGGTAGAATTCTCAGCAGAGCTCCTCACCACCATTTCAAGCATCAGGATGTCTGGGCAGCAGCCCAAGGGAGGAATGTGTTACTGTTGAGTTCTGTCCCACCATTGGTAGGCTGTACAAGCTTGCCAGCCGCAGGTCTGTCCTTTGCTAAATAAGTGTCTACACTGTGAGATGCAGTAAGGGCTTGAGATACGGTACACAGCTGGAAGGTGACAGCCACCCTTTAATGATTACTGCTTGTCACGGACTGCTGTGGTTTTGGCACAAATATACTGCTAATCTTCAAGGAAACTTTTGGGAAGGGGCCTCATTCTAAGAAGGCAATGTCTCTAACGAGGCAACTGGAGTTCAGAAAGGGTGAGACACTTGTTCAAGGTTCATTCTACTGGGTAGAGGAGGCCCTGGCTCCACCTCCCAAAGCTACTTTGTTATCATTTCGGGTTTTCGTTTTTCTGTTTTTGTTTTGCTTGTTTTGTCTTGTTTTGGCAGTGTCTCATGTAGCTCAGGTTGGCCTCCAACCTCTGATCTTCCTGTCTGTGCTAAGTTCAGGGGTTATAGATCTAAGCTGCTACACGAAGCCAACACTTCCCCTTTTAGGAGTTGTGGGTCTCAGACACTGGCCTCGTGCATGCAAGGTGAGCATTCCGCCAGTGAACTCTAGGGTCCTTCTAAGCTGCAGTGCATCGCTAATGGGGTATATCCAGGTATACAAACCCAGGAGCCCGATTAGTGGCACACCCAAAACATTTCAAAAGTTTCAAAAACATTTTAAAAATGAAAAAAAAAAAAAAAAAAAACCTAAAAACAATCTTTGTAGCTCAATCTGCCTTCAAGCTTGTGATCCACCGGCCTCAGCTTCCTGAGGTTGGTATCACAGATCTGAGCCTCCATGTCCAGCATACAGCATTTTTTCTGTAAGGAGCTTAAACTTTGGTGACTGTGGGAGGCCCTAGAACAAGCCACACTAGGACAGTCCTTCAACAGCCTGCTAAGCAGACTTTTAGTTGAGAACAGTAGAGTTTTGGGGCTTAAACCAACAACTCGATACAAACCTTTTAAAGTGAGCCTACTCAGTTCCAAGTCTCTCTCTCTCTTTAGTAGCATCCTGCTGCTCTTTAGTTGATATAGTCTGTGGAATATCATTCTGTTTTATCATCTTTGGATTGGACTTTGCTCCTAGTAGATGCAGGGGGAAGACTTGAAACTGTGGTCCAGCCCCCTGGCATTCTTTGATAAAGTGGATTACTGAGCCTGCAAATGCCTCTAAACCACTGCATTTCTCTCCTAGGGGGCCTCACAGAAAACAATGAACTCCCTCTGACACTGCTTGAAAAACACGACCCTTGGCCAGCCTATGTCACCTACACTTGCCCAGCAGTAAAGCGACTCCTTGACAAAAGAAGAGCCAGAGAGATGGAGTGCATGCTGGCCACCGAGGAAAGCTGTGAGCAGATGATGAGGCTGACCAAACCTAGTTCCATCCAGCTGAAGAGGAAGAAGACATCCAAGACCTCAGGAGACCTCTCACTGAAGGATGGCCTGTCAGAAACCTTGCAGCTACCTGCAAAAGTGAGTCCCACAGTCATCCCAAGACCTACACAGTCATACCAGCTAAAGAGGAAGAAGACATCCAAGACCTCAGGAGACCTTTCGATGAAGGATGACCTGTCAGAGACCTTGCAGGTACCCGACGTCTCAGCCAAAACGAATGTCACATTCATCCCAATATCTCTACAATCACAATTGGAAGCCAGAGAGGGGCCCACATTCACCTACAACAAGATCATTTTCTCCAGGAGGCCTGCCATGAGGAAGCTCCCATATGGCTTATTACAGACCAGCAAGGAGACACATGCCAAAGTTTAGTAAAGAGCCCTGTAGCCATCCCCTGAGAGTATACAACAGCTATGCTCTATTTGCTACAAATTACATCATGTCCTTGAAACTTGCAGTTGTTCTTGTTTATACCGAGGTTGTCAACCAGAGACTGTTATCAGAGAGTGGGCTGGGGTGTTTGGGTAGACCACCTAAGAACTGGAGTCTGTTGGGGTCATTCCCCTGTAGGGAAATTGGTACTGTCCCTGGATTTATCGGAAGACGGATGCTTGTAGAAGGGAGATGTGGGGTGAAGCTCGTCTTTCTGAGGTGGGGAGTAGGTTTGCCCATCTTGCGGTGCTGACTCAGTGCTGAGGACAGCCTCTGCAGGGAACACATCCTCACCTCTGAGAAGGGGTTTCTGTTCACCTGGTACCACTGAGAGACATCGGTGAGGCTGGCTGAGTGAGTGTTAGAAAACTTAAAAACTAGACTCAAATGCTCCTAGAAGGCATCACCATTGCCTGGCTGACACAAAGGAATGCCAGGGGATGCTGACAGAGGCAGAAAGGAGATAGCAGGATCCAGCAGGTTTCCAGTGAGTTCCTTCTTCCTTCTCTTCCCATGCAGACTCCTGCTAGCGCCCTCTGTTGGAAGGGTTTATCGGGGCACGAGGAGGAATATGGTTGGCTGATTTCCAGCCTTAGCAGCTTCCAGGCATACATAGCACAAGAGGATGATCTTTGAAGCCCACAGAAAGTTAACTCAGTAGCCACCAGTGTGGTCCTGACACTCCCTGTGACACCTGAACCTGGTGTTGGAGAGCCTTTTCCTTGGAGGGCTTACAAAATGGAGTGTGTATATGGTGGTGGTTGTGGTCGCAGATGCCTGTGCTGAGATGGTGGGTTCCTCTCCTCTCCTCTGCTTTGTTTATTTAACATATTTACTGTGTGTGTACACGTATAAGTGTGCCACAGTGAATGTGCCAGAATACTTGTGTGTGGCACACGTGTGGAAGGTTGAGGACAACATTGGGGGAGCTGCTTCTCTCTTTCCCTCGTGTGGGTCCTGGGGACTGTCCTTAGGTTGTCAGGCTTAGCAGGAGGCAGCTTTGCTCACTGAGCCATCTTGCTGACACTCTCGTGTGCTTGGTTTTAGCTTTGGGAGCAGACCTGATGTAGAGGGAAGGATTAGGATTCAGGGGTGAGTTCCTAGGCGGGACACTAGCTGTTAGCTATCGTTTGTTAGATGACAAGTTGGAGATTGCCCCACCCATGCTCTGCACTGGCTCCAAAGCAAGCAAATCGGCCCCAGTCACCAAGCCAACAAACTGTCTTCAGGCACAGTCTCCTGTCTGGGCTTAGTGGCTAGCATGGATGCCTCTACCCATGTTTCTGAGTATTTGCAAGGCAGTTAGTGCCTTCGTCCTCGCACTCCAGGTCTCCAGAGTGTGATGTCCTAATAGCTGCAACTGGCATTTGAGAGCCTAATTCTCCTCGCAGTGCGTTTGTCTCTGGAGATTGGCCTCACCTATCGGTGCAGTTCTTAGTTTGCAGCTCCTGTGTAATTCTGTCCAAACACTGCTGTCAATGAGAAGCTCCCGATTCAATCTTGGCTTCTTAACCCTTGGCCGGTATGAGTTCTGCAAAACCACAGATATTTCTCAGGGAATCTCATATATGTGCATAGTTTGTGCCCTAGAGGCACATGGTAAAATCTGAGGAGACTGTGGGTGTGGTGAATTTGTAGTTTAAGCACTCAGGACAGGTGACTGAAACAGAAGAGTGATGAGACACACAAACCTTGTGTCAAAACAGACAAAACAAGTAAAAAAAAAAAAAAAAAAACCACCTCTTCCACTCTTTATGGGCATTTCTGGCTAGGGTATGTCTGGGAATGTATGGGTTATAACACCTCTTCGAATGTTACCAGGAACCTCTGGCTAATATGGTTATTTCTCCTCATTCCTTAAAGGACAGGGTGATATGACAATTTGCATAGGCGTGTAGGTATTGTTTTTCTATCCTTAATAAGTTATGAAGAAATGTACTCTACAGTAATAGATTTTGGCTATATGATTTGCAGTAATTTAGTTCTCATCCTAGTGAAGCAACACAGGCATGGGCCAGGTATATGTTCAGAACTCTCACCCTGATGGGAGAGGGAGGGCCTGAGATTTGTGCATTCAGTGTCACATGGGCAATTTTAAGACAGATATAAACAAACAAACAAACAAAAAAAAACAAAAACAAAAACCAAAAAACAAAAAAGAAATGCAATTCCTTTTGAAATGGAGAACTCAGCTTAAGTCTAGGTTGGGACACCAGGGTCTGGCCATTTAGGGGCTTGATCAGCTCTTGCTATATTTATAAGACAGCTGGAGGTGCTGCTGGGAAGGAATTGTCCCAGGGAAGAAACTGCTGGGCAGGACTAGGTGGCCGAGTAGGAAAGCATTGGTCACCGGGTGCAAGATGATCCTCAGTGACTTGCAGTGTGCGATGCTTTGATGTGTCAACTGGTTCAGACCTTCCTGAGGGCTGCGGGGACTTGGACCAGTGAGTCCGAAGGATGGTTTGACTAAAGAAGGTCCTGGAGGTCCTGGAGTACCGAGACAAAGAGGGGTGGCGGGGGGCATGATTTTGACTTCACAGCCCACCAGCACACAGGTTCCACTGCCGTAGGGGTGGCCTCAAAATCTCGAGGTCTGGGAAAGCCAGAGCATACTTGTTAGGACCAGCTTTGTCCATCCCTAGTGTTTCCAGAAATAAGTGTGGAGCCTTTCCTGGGCCCTCACATCTATCCAGAGCGGGCAGGGCATGCAGGAAGTGGAATGTGGATTATTTCCACGTAACCTCATCTGCTTGTTCAAAGCAGGGAGGCCTGGAGTATCTCAGGTTACTCTGAGCATGGTTAACGGCAAGCTTGAAGACGGAGCTGGCTTTCTGTGATGTCCCACAGCCCAGGAGCTGGCTTTACTCTGATGTCTCACAGCCCATAGCTGACTCTTATTTATCTTCTCTGTGCATGGTGCATTTTCCTTATCAGAGTTGCCGCTGCAACGGGTCTCCCTGCTTTTGTAGTCCGTGCAGAACCAGAAGATGCACTTTATTAGCCCGTCTGTGTCACTGGTGACTAAGGCCACATCCCGACACATTTCATTCAGCCGTGTTACAGATTTCCTGGCTCCTGTGCGAATTCCAAAGGGCTGTCAGAGACTCAATGCCTAACCTTCACGATACATCCAAGCTGCTGGTCGTCAACTGTTTGGACATCAAACAGTTCTACATTGTGGAGCTTCTTTAGCTGTGGCCTGGGGCACGTCTTGATGGAGATCAGGCCTGCTGCGCTGATAAGAGGCTGCAGGAATGTTCAGGGCAACTTCCAGAACAGAGGTGCTGGTATAGGTGTGACAAAGCAGACTTTCTTTTTTTGGGGCAGGGGCTCCTGGGAGCTCTCTTACTGGAATGAGATGTGGAGAGGTATGGCGTGAGCCGTGCTGAAGCGAGGTGGCTGTAGCATGCTTAGTGTGCCTTTTTTTTGTGTGTGTGTGGTTCAGCATCCTTATGCGGGAGGCATAACTAAGCAGTCAGGGGAAGTAGAGGATCTAGCAGAGGACAGAGACCAGCTCCCTGAACTGTTCCACCAATGAGCTTCTGACCACGCGTCCGAGGAGATAAAGAACAAGGCTTAAATGCTCTAGCCCTCCAGACACTCTGTGTGTCAGCAGCTGTAACTGAAAAAAAAAAAAAAAGATTATGAAAGTGTTTTGTAAGCTGTGTCCAAGCAAGCGGGCCAGCCACACCACAAGATTCTTTTTGGCTTTGAGTCAGCTTCTCCCCCTCCCCCCAAGAATCTTTTAAGGAATTGCCATCCGTATGCACAGGCCAAAGGGCGCATTTTTAGAGCTTTCAAGTTATCTGTGACGGAAAGAGCGTGGATTGAGAAAGCCGAGAAGGGCTGGGAGGGAAGGGAGGTAAACAGAGACCAGATTGAAACTCAAAGCTGAGTTTCTGTTTGTTGAAAAATCCCTATCTACTTCGTATCCCTCTCTGGCCCATATCCCTTTTTTGGGACCCAGGGCGTCAGCCATCTACTTGGAAATCACAGGGTGACCTGCAGGGTTGGGGAAGAGCCAGGGGGCAGCACAGAACATGTGTATTGTGTTCTCATGGGGGCCCCAACCCTTGGCACAGGTTTGTAGGGTGCCTGGCAGCACACTGCAGACATGGAACGGGAGACCAAGTTAAGTGTGGAGTTAACGTTCCTTCTGGCAAAGGTTACAGAAGGAAAGTACACTTGGAATTTCATCACCCATCGTCCATGCCACCCCACGTTCTGCGTCTGACTCTAACCACCACTGGTTTCTGCCTCCTTGTGTGTGCACAAGCCACGTGTGGGTGGCATGGCCTTAACTTTATATTCTAGGGGCAGTAAAAATTCCTGCCTTACCCCTGGCACTTCTGGGCAGTTCTTTTACTGAGGGCACAACCTGGCTTGTGGCATGAGGTCACTTCCTGTCTCTGTTCAATCTTTCAGCAACCCAGGGCAACCCGCTATTTTTAGTAGATAAAGGGGCCCGAGAAGTCACAGAATTTCAGACCAGTTGGGAACTTGACTGCCGGCACTGTTTCTGCACTTGTGCCAAGTGGGCAGATTTTTGTAGACAACAGTTGGTTTGCGAGCCCACTACAGCTGGAGGGAAGTTGGCCTGAGTGTGGCTGACTCTTTTTTTTTTCACACTTTCTGCACACTGGAACCTGTCTGGACCCACTGTGCTTTCCATAATCCCGGGGCATGCTTGCTTAGGTAGGTGGTTGATGGCTGAATTAGGAGAGCCTTGGGTTGGACCCCAAGCTGTTCAAGTGTGGGATCGCTTTTGAACTCAGTACGTTCCCTGTTCTCAGATTGCCTGAGAGTTTCATCAGAGGTGGTCCTGCTGGGGTCTGCTGATTGCTGAGCACAGGGTATGTTGTAAAGTAGCTTTACTTGGGAGCCTTCTTCACGTGGTCAGACCAGCCTGTGGCCCCACCAGTGTTAGACAAGCCTGGCCACATTCTCTCCTATCCCCTGGAATGTGGTGTGTGGTCTGGGCCAGAATTGGTGCTCAAG